TCAGGAACTGTTTTAGAAATTAATATGTAACATTATAAATTTAATATGAAGAAATTGTATAAAAACGCTCTAGTAAATAAAGCTAAAGCTATTAAAAGAATCACTCTGGCAAACAACTGAACAGACCAGCTAAAAACACCACTGAATTCAAATTTAATTTACATGTGTTTGACCAATTAACCTACAAATTGAGCAAAAGAATGAACAATAATTTTATATGCTCATTGTCTGAATAAGCAAGGTGCTTTTGTGTCTTTCTGTCAATTTGAGGAAAACTTTCTCCCTGAGCAAACAAACACACAGAAATAAGAGGGTAAAAAAAATCTCACTACCCACAGGCAACTCCAAGAAAGAAAATTTAGTTTGATTAAAAACGATTTGAAGTGCTGAGCAAACATTTACTTTGAGAAGAAATTCCAGTTCAACTTTGGAATCAAGAAACATGGGTGACACTAGACTACAACTTGACTGCGTTAGAGGACCACACTTGGCTAGTTATGTCAGCTCAGAGAAAATACCCCACTTCAGTCCCACATCACCGGAGCACGAGTTGCTCCTGTTTTCAGTGGAAGCCCACTTTAAAAAGCCACGCAGCAGTGGGATCTAAAATTAAGGAAGAGAATTAGACAGAGATTTTTTTCCTTTTCCTGTATTTGGCAAATCTACCACGGAAGTGGGGATGGGAAGGGTTAAGTTCATAGATACACTGAGGCATAAACAAAGGCAGACAGAAAAAATGCGAGTTCAACTTTCAGAAGAAATGAAAACTAAACCTTGGAATGTTCTCAGGCTTATTAACATGGGGCTGTACCCAAACAAAATGAGCAGTCCCAGATGAGGAACTCATCACCAAACTTTAAACCACGAAACTGACGGGGGCAGGGGAGTCAACGAGAGCGTTCTAGAAACTGGGGCCCAGGGAGACTAAGTTAAGGGATGGTTACGACGCAGTATATACTACATCGTACTGTGCTGTTATTTATAATTAGGCAGTATAACCTGAGAATAAGTGGAAGCGCCAGGCACTTCAGTCATGTTTGACTCGCCCTTGCCACCTTAACCACTCAAATTATCCTTATTAGCAATCAAGACAAAGAAAAGTTCAATTATTTCAAGTGTAATGGGTCGACTTGGAGGCACAAAGGGGTCAACAGCCTTGTAATTCCACTTGGCCGGCCTCCACACTAGACAGGAAGAGGGCAGCGGGAGAGGCGGAGGAGGGGGGGCGGCTAGGTTCCGCGGGTCTCCGAGTGGTGGTTTCTTGTTTGGAGGCTGGGGATACCCAGCGCAATAACGAGCCCCCGGCGTTCAGGACCGCCCCGCCACGCAGCCGGTCCCCGAAGCAACTCCTTCTCCTCCAGGCCCTGCTGCCCACCCCCGCCCAGCCCGGACCCAGCCGCCTCCAGCCGCCTCCAGCCGGGAGGAACCACCTACCACGTGCCAACTCCTAGGCGAAGGGCTTCCAGACTACACAGTGGGCGACCGCGCCACCACAGAGAGCAGCGGAGAGAGCGGCTCCTCCTGACTTCCGGAGGAAACGGAAACGGCGTCGGAAGTCGAAGGGCGGGTCAAAGGAGGCGCGGCCTCCTAAGCTCATGGCGGGTCTGTTACTAGGAGCGGGCCGGAGAATGCGGCTTCCGGGTGGTCAGCTCTGGCGTCTCCTACCTTGTGGTCTCAGTGTTCGGGGCCAGGCAGAGGGGACTGGGGCCCCGAGGGTCTTGCTGAGGCAACTCTGTGCGCGACGAGAGTGGCGGGCCTCGGGGTTCGCCTGCAGCTGCCTGGGAAGCCGGCCCCTCAGCACTGCGAGGCCGCCACCCCCGGGGGCGTCAGGACCCGAGTCAAAGGGCCGCAGAGACCCCACACGCCCCTCGCAGCCCGGGGTGAGTGCACGCCTGGAGCGCTTCCTTTCCTCGTCGCAGCTGTCAGACAACCCTGTGGCCTTCCCGTCCCACTTGGTCATAACCTCAGAAATCATTCGGCCTGGCATGAAATTGTTCGAAACTCAGCCAGCTTACCTGGGTCACAGAATCTCATCCCGCGTTCCCCTTGGTTTGCCGGTAGTTTCAGCGTAAAGAGAGAACTTGTAAAGCAACTCTCTCTCCATGAGGTTAAATACATACCCGAGCTTGGATTTTTAGTTAGTTTTTGCGCCACCCCCCTCCCCCCCAAAAAAAGTTTCAGTATTTTCTCATCCCACAATAACATGAAAACATCCTGCACATTTAACAAGATCAGAGCCTGTGAGTATGTATATTAAAAACTAATAAATTTAGTATGATTAAATGTCTGCATCTTACTAGTATTTGTATTTTTGAAATCTCTGCCCCAGTAGCCTGTTTCCTGGAAGTCTTTAGCAGTCACATTTGCTATTGGAGGAGCTTTACTGGCTGGAATGAAGTACTTCAAGAAAGAAAAGACAGAGAGTAAGTAGATATCATTTGGTCAGCTCTGAATGAAATGCTCCCTGGCTATGGACTGGCATCTTTTAATCTTGAAATAATTTTAGGTTTATAAAAGAGTTGGAAATATAGCATAAAAAGTTCCCATATACTTTTCACCTAGCTTCATCTAATGTTAACATCTTACATAGCCATGCCTCATTTGTCAAAACTAAGAAATTAAAAATAGTACAATAGTACTCACTAAACAACAAACTTATTTGTATTTCACCTGTTTTTCCATTGCCATTTATCTGTTCCAGGATACCACTGTCTAACAATATGGAAAGACTTACTGTTGGACAGATTCGAGTGTCGGTAGTATGAAGTTCAAAGGGTACAAGGATGATTAAGATGCAGTCCAGCCATTGAGGTGCATACGACAGGGAAACAGACACAGAAGTAAAGGATTTTGCTAGATGAGGTTCTGCCAGGCCAGGGGGAAGTTCAGGGTGCCCTGAGGGCCAAGGAAGGCTCAACCCACTGCAAATCGCTGAGTCTCAGCAGAGGGAAAGGACAAAGGCTGACCATGGAAGATGGAGAGAGAGGAAGAACCTGGTCTGGAAATGCTAGGAACTGCTCTGGATACACACTTGAAGTGTTTAGAAATTGTTTACAGGAACTTTATATTTTAGTGAATTTTCCAGGACTTTTAAGATTTGGTTTAGAAGTTTCCAGTATATCTTTAAAGTATCAGTTAAATCTGTTTTGCTTTCTTTACTTTAGACTCTCTTTTGATGTCATTATACAAAGGATAATGTTGAAATCTGGGAGTGAGAATTCATAGGCTTCAGAACCTCTTTTGTATAACAAGTAGTGTTTCATTGATATGATTTTAATATTCTGATAAGCAGTTAAGTTCCTTTACTTTCACAAGGATACAAAACTGAAAAGCTAGGGGCCGGCCGAGTGGCTCAGTTTGTTAAGAGCTCCCTCAAGAGCCTGAGCTCTGAGCAACAGAGCTCACATGGGCCAGTGAGCTGCTCCCGAGCTGAGCTGCTGCTGTGCTGCCAACAGGTGGCAGGATGGCTCAGCTTAAAAAAAAAAAGGAAAAGCTAGGAAGGTGGTAAAATGCAAGCTTCTTTTAACTTAGTTTGAAATTTCACCTGCAATTAACTTTTTTATTTAAAAATGTATTATGAAACAATTTAAAAAGTGTTCCTGAATCATTTGAGACTATTTGGTGACATGATGCCTCATCATGTCCAAATATTATTGTATATTTCCTACAAATAAGGACATTCTCCAACATAATCACAATTCAACCATCAAAATCAGAAAATTAACACTGATACATTACTGTTCAATCTTCAGACCTCGTTCAAGATCCAGTTCAGAACCATACCTCCTACCTAGGTGTTACCGCTTTAGACTCCATCAGTCTATGCGTGTAATAGTTTTTCCCCTCTACCTGACTTTCATGACCTTGACAACTTTGAAGATTACAGGCCAGTTATTTTGTAGAATGTCCGTTAGTTTTGGTTTGTTTGATCTTTCCTCATGATTAGATTTTGGTCATGTACTTTTGGCAGGAATATCACAAAAGTGATGCTGTGTTCTCATCATACCTAGTCAGGTGCCATATGATTTCAGTTTGTTTCATTACTGATAATGTTCCATGATTAAGGTGGTGCCTGTCATGTCAGGCTTCTCTACCAAAAATGTAATTAATACATATTTTGTGATGAATATTTAAATAATGTAAATATTCTGTATTATTTACTCACATAAATATTCTGTTCCCCACATCAAACACTTAATTCATTTATATCAATATGGATTTACGATTTTCTATCCATTGAATTGTGATTTCTCTCTTTATTTTAATGTTCAAATTATCCCAGATTGGTCAATGGGAGCCCCTTTGAGCAGGCTCCTGTTTTCCTTTTGACGTGTCTCCAATATCCTTTGAGTTCTCCCTTAATTCAGGCATAAAAAGATGTTCCAGGCTTATTTTATGCTTTCTCTGCCCCAGCCCTGATATTAGCCATTCTCTAAAAAGTCCTCTTTCCTCTTAGTGGAGGATGCTATTTAGAAGTCAGGATCTGAGCTCATTGTCATTAGAGTGTGTCTGCTCCCAGCTCCTCTCAGTAGACAGATCTAGGAAAGAGAGAGAGAGAAAGGAAAAGAAAAAGATAGCTATATATCTACATCTATTTACATCTATATGTATATTTACATCTATATCTATCTATATAGAATCCATAAGTTCACACCTTAATTCCAGTACTGCAAGGTACATTCTAGTTTTCGCTGTTTCCATCATTCTAACTCCTTTTCCATCTATAACCCTCTTATTCCTAATATATTATTTGATCAATCCATGGGAAGTAACTAAGATCTCATCACTGCTCTCCCCTCCCTGTCCCTGTGCAGCAGCCCCCAGCACACTCAGGCTTCTAATGCCAGGCCACCCCGCCTGCAGCTTGGGCTTAGACACTCTGCACTGCTGTGCCCCTCCCCCACCCCTATCATGGCACTCCTGTTGGCTTGATGGTGTGACTTGTTCCAGAAGAGGAAGAAATATTTTTACCAGTTTTTTATAGTCCTTACTATATACCATAGCACTTAATTTGATTTTGTTTTATGTTTATTTTTCTTAAAAGATTTGTTAAGCTTCTTGAAAACTGAGAGAGTATTCTACAGTTTATGCCCACACAGTCATGAGTATAATATGGACCATATATCAGACATTTGAGTACCTGTGGCTAGATTCACTTTTTTTTTTTTGATGTGTGTGTTTGTGTCTCTTTAAGAGCTGGAGAAGAAACGGCAGCAAAGCATTGGAAAACCTTTACTTGGGGGCCCGTTTTCCCTCATAACTCATACTGGAGAACCCAAAACTGATAAAGACTACCTGGGTCAGTGGGTATTGATTTATTTTGGTTTCACTCATTGCCCTGATATCTGTCCAGAAGAACTAGAAAAAATGATTCAAGTCGTGGATGAAATAGGTAAGAAAGCCATCACTATAAAAAGTATGTTTACTTAATGTTCTTAATGTTACTATGCTTTTCACATTCTTATATTGCTGTTAGGTGGAGGGTTGTAGTTATTTGGCATGTGAGAACATAAAATCTCAGCATTAAATGGCTTTTTTGTTGCTTTGAATCCCGTGATCTTATTTTCCACCAAAGGAAGCTTGTGATGCTAAAAGCTAGGTTGCTCAAGAATGTCAATGTGGTCTGGGTCTCCCATAACTCTACTTTTTGTCCCTTTATTATGGCCTTCTATCATTGACACTGCCATTGCCTTTTCCCCGGTGACTGACGGTTAGACTAGGAAATCTGTGGTGTGATCTGTGATGTGCAGTCAGAGGCATTTATTAGTACCAATGAGAAGGCAGGATACAGCCTTCTCAAAATGAATTGTTCCTGGGCTGGCTGAGTGGCTCATTTGGTTAAGAGTTAGCTTAAGAGCGTGAGCTCTGAGCAACAGGGCCGCCAGTTCGATTCCCACATGGGCCAGTGATGCGACTGAGCCAAGCTGCCAACAGGTGGCAGGATGGCTCAACTGGTGAGAGCACATGCTCCTAACAACAAGACTGCCTGTTCGATGGTGGGCTATGCCCGCCCACTACTAAGACTGAACTCGGCACCTTGAGCTGAGCTGCTGCCTGGATGGCTCAGTGGATAGAGCGTGCTCTCTTAACAACAAGGCTGCTGATTCGACTCCCACATGGGATGGTGTTGATGCCCACCCTCAACTAAGACTGAACTCAGCACCTTGAGCTTAGAGGCGATGAGCTGCCGATGGGCAGCCAGATGGTTACTGGTACCCTCCACAATGAAGACTGAAGAACAACTTGGCTCGTCCCCTTCCCCAATTCCCCAACACTGTTCCCTACCCTAATTCCCTGATTAAAAAAAAAAAATGAATTGTCCCAAAATATTTAGTCCTTATGAATAGTTTACCTTGCCCTTGAGGTATGGCAGGGGGACAAAACCCTACAAATATGGATTGGATTAGGAGATAAGACACCCACAGAGATGATCCAGGTACCAGCATGCATGCAGTGCTACTGGTGTTCGGCAGGATATGTATGATTCTACTACAGATAATACAGATGGCTCTGTTCCTCCAAAAGCCATTCCAT